CTTTTTCTGCTGAGTCATCTCTCCGGCCCCATGAAATTCTTTATATCTCTGATGTAAAGAATAATGTCTTCGAATAAAAATGATTGAATGTCCTGTTACCCTATATGTATTTGTTTTATTAATTTTTAAAAATATTTTTGCCTACTGTTCTGTGTCTTAAGTATTATACATATTAGGAATGGTGGTGGTTGATGTTTGTTTCATTCTCTGTTTTAGAGGACATTTCTCAGTTTTTCCCTATTTTATATGATAATGGCAGTAAATTCATAAATGGCATATATATATACATATATGTATATATATTAGGGAAGGGTCTATAGGGTGTTCAGGGTCTCACACTAGATCGGACTCATAGTGATACACTTGTTTACAACTTTCCAAAAGCTGGGATTACAGGCACGTGCTACCACGCCCAGTCTCAGTTGCTGTCTCAGTGTGCCCCTGCAGTGGGGACAGCATGGTAGGCCTGAGGATCGAACCCCTAGCCCTTGTGCCTGCTTGAAGTTACACTAACCCAATGAGCTACTTGGCAGGCCCAATAAATGGCTTTATTAGATTGAGATATTAGATTGAGGCCTTTTTACGTTGTTTTTTGAGTTTTTATCTTCAGCACATACTAAAGTGCATAGGAATATTTTTTGTGTATGGAGATGATCATGTGATTTTTATCCTTGCTACTGTGTGACACATACCATTTACTACTTTAAGGATTCTGACTTTGTGTCTGTTCTCTGGATTTTGACTATGATATGTATAGATGAGTTCTTTTTTTATTGTAGTTGTTTCATATTCCATGCATTAGTTTTCTTTATGCTGTGAAGTTCATATATCAGAGGTATGTTTTGGCGAGGAAAGCAAACAAACAAAAACAAAAACAAACAAACAAACAAAAAAAACCCTCTTGAAACCAGAAGAGTTTTGAGTGTTATTTTCTTTACCTGGATCCTTGAAAGAGAACAAATATGAATATTTTTTAATTTAATTTGATCAGTTAGTGTTTCTGCTTTCACATATTCACTACTGAGTAGTGGTGTTCGCTACCATTCTTTAAACCTATCTTTTATTTTCCTGCTTAGAAATTGCTTTTGTGACATACTCACTATATTTCTGTCTTGTCAGTTTATTCTTGTAACGTATATGAATTCAGTTCTTCATGAGTGAGCAAAAATATCAGTGTCAAAGATAATGTATTTCCACTCAATTTAGCAAAGAGTTTGAGAAAAGCCAAGATCCATTTCAATGTGTCTCACATTTCATATTCACTTTTACTAATGCACCAGTTTCAAAATTTATTTTGCATATTCTCTCATGACACAGGAAATATTCCCATCTCTAGCCATAATAACTGTATCTTGTAAAACACTTTAAATAATATTTTTATACTTTCTTGGACATTCCCACTTTTTTGTTCCTTACTTCAGTCCAATCTGTATAGAGCAATTTTGCAAAGCTGTATTTAAGGGTTTGTTCACTGACTGGTATTGTAGACATTATCGTGATTTTGCCCCAGTCATTTCATTATTTCTGTTACCATTGGAAAAGTCACTCTAACCAGACATTATTTATTATATCATTTTATTTTATTATTTTATTTTAAAGTGAAAACATAACAAAAGCAAAAACAAACAGAAAAAATAAAGACAAAAACAATAACATACAGCAGTATTTATGACACAGAATTTTAAAACAAGAATAAAAAATTAATAGTGGTTGTTAGGGGAAAATGTCATGCAAGTATATATACAGGAAAGCTGAGAGGATTACAGTATTAATTTTCATCAGTCTTTTGAAAGTAGCAGTTGCTGCTTAAAATGTTCACTTTGACTAACTCTATATGTTAATATCTGTAGTCTGAGCAACTACATCGAAGCCAACAATGTGTAATACAAAAACCACAGCTAAATGCCTCTCATCTTGCTATCTATTGATCTTTAAATAGAAATTATACTCTTGGTTGTGTTAACACCTGAGATATTGTACTTCAGAAGTGTCTTTAAAATCAACTACCACATGTTTATTTACTTTTTCTTTCATACCTATCTACTCTGTTCCCTAACATCACAAATATTCTCACGGAATTCTTGTTTTTCTCTGCTTTAATCTATTTTTCTTCCTGTTTTTGTATACAAGGCTTCACAATACACATAGTTTAAAGGTGAAACTAAGGCATTTTCAAAAGCAAAACTCAATTACTGATTTTTGATTCTTAAGAAAATTTCAGCCCCACCTCTGGGGCGCACCGAGGAGGCATTGAGACTGAGCATGGTGGCGTGCACCTGTAATCCCAGAACTTGGGAGGCTGAAAACAGGAGGATTACTAGGAGTCCGATCTATGTAGTGAGACCTTGTACACCCTATAGACTCTATCCTAAATTTATTTTTTAAAAATTTCATTTATACAAAGTCTCTTATAAATTATATATTTAAATTCTTGTTTTTACCAATTTTGATAAGAAAAATTTTCTTTTCTTGTACTGAATCCAATAAGAAGGTGAGTTCTCTGCATAGTTAGTACTTCTATAATTTACTCTTTTTTTTTTAAACTGTGAATGATAGGTGTAGTCAAATTCTCTAAAATCCAAGTCCAAGGCTAAGGCTTATATAACTAATATACTCAGAGCCAACTGAAGTCCATATTTTATTTGGTCATGGGATAGTTACACAAATCTCAAATTTTGGCCCACACCTTCATATAT